TCTCCTTCATTCTGCTCGGAACCTGGTCTCCTGGAGGTAATATATTTGTAATCTAACAGACAACAGCAGGTGAGATATTTCAACAAATTAAAGGAAAATGGAAAACAAAGAGAGTGGTGACTGGAGACCGTAGAGTTCTGCTATCTCTTCTCGCTCCCATCGCCCAACTTTGCGGTCTACGATTGGGCAGATTTCATCAATTTCATCTTCTATTTTTGTCAATCAAATTTTTACTCTTAAAAATTCTTTTTTGTCCTCTGATTATTTCTCTTTCACAGCATTATCCTGTGTTTGTTTTTGAATGAATTATCTTCCCAAATCTCTCTCAGATTCTGGCTTGGGGATTTCTTCCTGTTAATTTCTCCTCTGTTCTTTTCATTATTTTTATTTCTTCCGGAGTCAAGTTTCCCTCTGTCTGCCTGTCATTCTTTCTCTTTCATGTTGCAGGGTTCCCTCAAATGCCTGGTGATACAAGCTCGTCTGTTTTCATTGAGCAGGTAGCATAGGAAGGCTGCTGGAAGCCCCAGCTGCTGGAGGTCAGTCTGGAGTAAACAGTCAGGGAGCTGACGGTGACCCTGGGGAGCTGTGTCGCTCTGGCTCCAGCACCTGCTCTAGGCTCTCCCGGGCAGGTAGCCCTCCCTTGGCCACTGCCCCCTTTACGGGTACTCCAGGCTGCAGCTTGCTCCATGTTATTTCTTTAGTCAACCTGCCCTTTGCTTTCGCCTTCCAAATTTGATTAAACACCTTTTCTACTGCAGATGCCCCTCCTCCTATTCACTTCATTGTTGTGAATTTTTAAGTTCTGAAGTTTCCTTGAAATTTAGTGTAATAACTGGAGGTAAAGGGAAAATAAATGCATATTTGTCTGTTCTGCTCCGCCTGCCATCCTGCCCTAGGATTTCCTTCCTTGTCTAGCATTGTTCACGGAGCTATTCTGCAGGTGTCCAATGACGTGCACGGTGTTCCTATCTAGAAGTGATCTGTGGTGTCTCTTGTAGCCAATTGCTTTCTTTCTTTCTTTCTTTCTTTTTTTTTTATAAGGATGGGCTAGAGGAGGGAGTTGTTTGTTTTGTAAAGATTGGCACCTGAGCTAACAACTGTTGCCAATCTTCTTTTTTTTTTCCTGCTTTTTCTCCCCAAATCTCCCCAGTACATTGTTATATATTTTAGTTGTGGGCCCTTATAGTTGTGGCATGTGGGATGCTGCCTCAGTGTGGCCTGATGAGCGGTGCCATGTCTATGCCCAGGATCTGAACCAGCGAAGCCCTGGACTGGTGAAGCGGAGCGCCCGAACCTAACCACTCGGCCACGGGGCCTGCCTCTTCGAGCCAATTGCTTTCTTTAGCATGAATCATTATAGCTCCACTCTGCAACGCTGGTCTAGCAAGCGTTAGTGACAGGCACTGGCGCAATCAGATACAACAATAAGGTATTTGATTCGAATCTTACAGAGAATGGTCACTTTCTGTTCAGTGAATTCTTAGGTTTTGTAGAGATACCCTAAGGCCCCTTTCTCATTTGTGAATGGAAACATTGTATTAATGTCTCTTTTTAGCATCAATTCCCGATCCTCCCTTATTCCCATCCCTTCTCGTACTGGGGTGGGCAAATTGTTCTGAATTGCTTGTCCTTGTTTCCTCTTGCTGGAGACCCTGGATATCTCCTAGATCGTGAGCTGTTGAGGACAGAGGCATCTCTTAATCATGTACCCCACACAGTACCTTGTAAGCACTCAGAAATGGCTGGTTGCATAAATGAGTGCGTTCTCTGGGGCTTCCCACTGGCTTCATTCATGATAAGGGCACTGATATTTTTAATACCGGTACATATCTAGTTAGTTTCTTTTTGTTAGGATGAGTATATTTTTATTATAACTTATTTTTATTATTTTATTATGATGAATTTATTTTTGCAATCAGGCATTATCACCCATGATATGGTATTTAAGCCTTCATTTAAATATATATATTGAGTACCTAGTAAGTGCCAGAGACTGTGCTAGATACTTAAACAGAAAAGCTCTTTTCCCTCCTCCAGAGTATGTCTGCTGGGGAGAGATTTTACAATAATTTCATGTGCAAATAGAACATTTTAGCTATAATAAATACTTTGAATAAAATATATACAGTGAGAGTGTCTAACAGGGAGAATTGACGTAGTTGAGGAGGTTAGTGATACTTAAACTAAAATTGAAGAATGCAGAGCAGTTAACCAGGTGAAGAGGGGAGAGGATTCTGTGTAGAGAGAACAGCATGTACAAAGGCCCTGTGGTAGAGGGAACAGGGCAAGCATAAAGAAATAAGAACGATCTAGTGCAGCTTGAGCTTAAACTGCATGGAGAAATAGTGAAACCAGGGCAGCAGTGACACCTGACATGTAGTCAGATGTTTGATACTGGAGAAGTGTGTGTGTGTCTGTCTGTCTGTCTGTCTGTCAGAGAGATGCTCCCTCATTCTGAGGCTCTCTGGTTGATCCATCTGTCTCTGGGTCTCCTGATGACACTGTGGCTGAGTCGAGTGTTGACTGAGCTAGATCAGACCATGATGGATTCGACGTTACAAAGCATGATGTGATAGAAGAGAATGCAAACTGAGCAGTGTTGGGACAGGGATAAATCCTTGTCTGCCTGTCCCTCACTCCTTGCCTCCAGCCCTCCCTCCCATTTGAAATTCAAGACACTCCCACCTGATTCTTCCTCTTGAGTATGCTGCACTCTGCTCAGGATTTCCTCTGATTAGGTTAGTGATGCCCAGACCCTCACTTGGACATCCCTGGGGGCGGGAGAAGGGAGAGGAGAAAGTACTGGTGGGATGTTATCGATTTTTCAATTAAAGTGAATTCACGTCAGTTCCTTCTTCTGAAACTATCTCAACGTTCTTTGAGATTATTAGAGCTGCCAGGGTGTCATGGACCCAGGAATGACAGTGACCATTCTGGGTGGGTGTTTTGGGGGGGCAGTGGACAGGGGTGATGATAAAGATGGTGACAGCCATGAAGTCACACCACAGACACGTAGCCCTAGGTCAGAGCTGATGACCGTCTATTCCCCACCTCCTCACTTTCCAATGCGGAGACGGAGGTCTTGAAGTGACGTGTGCAGGGTCTCGTAAGTGACAGCGCACAGACCGGGACTCAGATCTCCACTCCCTATTCGGGACACTAAAGATTCCAGAAAGATCTGTGGGATTTTTACTGGGCCTACATGCCCACTGTTCTGGGAGGAGAACACAGAGCTTGGCTCAGGTCCAGGTCAAATTTAGTGTGGTGACCTGGGACAGCCACTTTCCCGCGGGGGCTTGGGTCACCTTACAGATAGAGCCTGAGGTCTGGCCCAGGGGCAGATCTGTAACTCAGAAGTATCTTTTGGAACCAACTTCCTCTCAGAATCCCTTTAGACAGAGTTCTCTTGTCCCTTCTCTCCTCTGGGGACAGCGCCTCTGTCTCCTTCTGTGTTCACAGACCCCCGACATGGAGCTTTCATAGGACTAGGTCATCCTCTGAGCAGGGGGCTGGGGAGAGCAGCTAATTCAATCCAGGGACAGCAAATCAGGTGGCAGCATTCCGAGCCTGACCTGTGCGTCTCTCCATGACCACCATTCCTCTGTGCGGTGCTCCGGTGGTGCTCAGCGAAGCTGAACCCGGAATTCTCAAATTGTTTTTGCAAAAGATACACCAGTTCACTCTGGAGACAGAAAGAAGGAGAGAGCTAATTCACTGAGTTAGGGCTGGGGGGACCATTAAAGGAATCTAACTCAATTTGCTGTCTCATGTCTAGAACCTTCCACAGCCCCTTTCCAACTGGGGGTCCAGCTGGGAGCTCCCAGGCTCCAGACACAGCCCAGGTGGTCTCTGCACAGGCCTGACCTGCCTCCTTAGGCTCTTTATATGGCCACCCCAAATCCACATACCTTCATCCTTCAGATCCTTTAGAATCTACAGACAAATGTCATCTTGTCCTTGCATGTCAGTCCTTGATATTAGGCCACGTTTCTCCCACTCCCACTCCCACACCGGGTTTTCTTTTGCAGGTTGAACAGCTTTGATTATCACACTCAGAGCATGCTTTGGCCTCCCCCTTCCTGCTGAGTCATTCCCTCCCAAACAGGTGTACTGCCATCGTTATGGCCGTCAAGTATGATGGCCGGCACTGAATGCAGGACCAGTAAAAATTCCACGCTCTGTTTCAGGCTAGCAGACATGTATCTGTGCAGCCCAATACCACAGGGTTGGGAAAATGCACAGCTACAGGATCTTATTCTCCTGAGGCTGGCAGGGGCGGCACAGAAGCTGGAATCTTGTGGCCCATTAAACGTGCTGGCCTCGGCAACACCCCCTCTGGTCTCAGTAGACTATTGTACACTGGGTTACACTTTTGAAGGTGAGAATCATGATTTAAGAAGCTAGCGAATATTTTTTTAGCCCCAAATTTTGGTAAGCAAGGGTTGACAAGATCTGGAGAAACTATAGAAGAGCCTAGTATTTAGTTTTTATCTATGACTTGGGCATTTCAAAGAGTTCACATATAGCTTAAATTTCTTGGAATTGATGCTTTTTCTGCAATAACGTCTATTACAGGAATCTCTTACTAGTACGTTTAGTAGATAATGCCATGCTTTGTAAAAAACACATCAGGAATTTCCTTCCTCAAGTTTTTCTCAATTTGTTGGAGTGCAGCTCTGTGAATTACAGGCTCTTCCGGTTAGCTTGTTGTGAATTCAGAAGTCAGCAAAGAAAAACCCGATTTCATGGAAGGATCCGGCCATGCTGGGCTCCAAGCTTTCTTTGGGCTCCACTGTTGACCAGGCCTGTTCTGAGTCCAGTGCTGGTCTCAGCCAGCTCCACACAGCAGCCTTACTTAGTCCTCACTCATCTCATCTCTCTCTCCTCCTCTGGGCGCCACCAAACACTGACGTCATAACCCCAGTGGGGTCGTCACAATCCTGCCACCCAACAATGAGCTTTTCCTGGAGTCTTTGCAGGTGGCACTGATGAAAGGATGATGGAGAAGGAGAGAAAATGGGAGGGGAGGAGGTGGGCTGAGGGGCAAGACCAGGAGGAAAGAGAGAGAAAGGCAAGACCGGAGGGGAGCCAGCCATGCTTATCCTAACAACAGCCAAGAAGTGGTGGCCTGGCCTGCTGAGAACCAGAAAGCTAGGAGAAAGAGGAAAATTGACCAGGATGCCAACGTTCCCATGAGCAGGCACCTCTGTCTGAAGTTAATAGAAGTTCAATGGGGTCCTGCCAATATGCCCTCCAAAAGGGAGGGACAAGGCTTTTTTCTGGCAGCTAAGGTAAATGGCGGCGGGGGTGGGAGGGGTGGAGCATCATGAGGTTTCAAGCTTCCCCATGTGCTGGCTTCTCAGGCACAGAACTCACTGAAGAATGGAATCGGCGACTGAAATCTGGGGACACCTAAGCCCTATAACAAGGCTCTTGGTGTTTCAATTCTCCCTTCTGTTAACTGGTTTGCTCTGGGCTTTTATACAGGCTTATATACATCCTTATATACCTCTATTAAGTGTGATTGATTGCTTTCTCATGAAGTTCTTTGAGAATGGTAAACCATGGTCCATATTTGCTTTGTTTTGTTTTGGAGTTGGGAAAGGGTGGCTGTCAGAGCCTTCTCAAAGCAGCCAGCCCACGTTGACAGACACCCACCTGGGGCCCCGGCAGGAAACATGTGGGCAGTCCCTGAATCACTGTTTTTCCCTGGATCTCTTGCCCTTCTTTAATGGATGATGTGGCAACAGGGAGAATCAGTTTTCCTACATCCAAGCAGGACTTAAATGTGGGGGAAGCTGTGAGTGTCCTCATTTCACAACGCGGGGTCAGGACTCAACGCCGGCAGAGATGCTGGCTCTGTCCCACCTTGAGCCTGGGCAGCGAGGGGGGGTGTTACTGCTGGAGCTATCCCTTTTCAGCGACTTAAAAACTGATAAATTTGGAAATGTGTTGTCCCGTCGTCAGTTCTCCATGGCAATCAATTCCTGATCATCGCTTGACTCCCTCTATAACTGGATATCTAGACCGTCACAGAAGCTGTCTGCCTCAGTCGCCTTCTGCTGCCCAGCCTTCCCACCACCCTCTATGGCCTGCCCACCATGGCCAGATTCACTTTCACAAAATGGAGGTTTCATAAGATCTCACTCCCTGCTTATCAGCTTTTAATGGTTCTCTAGGCATTTCAGGATAAATTACCCACTCCTGAGGCTGCCATTTGAGGGCATGATGTGTTGGTCTTGGGCTGCTTTCCCATTTTAACCCCTCAGCAAACCCATAAGGAACTTTTCTCTTGGATACCCTGCATAGTGAATCCTGGACAGCTCTTGGACTTTCCCACTGCCGAACCTTTGATAAACTTGTTGACCCCCCTTTACCCCTCCACTGCCCCAATCTCTTCTCTACTCATTTCCACCGGTTGTCATAACAATGATCCTTCAAGGTCTGGCTCACACTCCGTCTGCTTGAGTGAAGCCTGGAGCCTCTTTTGGCACCCACAACTCTCACAGCTCCTTCTCCCAAACTCCTTGGGCCTTTGGGTCTTTACTAATCATTTGATACTAAGGATTTGTGGCAATATTGAGCCAGTTATCTTTTTTTTTTTTAACTAAGCTGCAGAATTTACTCAAATGTCACCAGTTTTTCTACTAATTACTTTTTCTGTTCCAGGATCTAATCCAGGAGTGCCAAAGGCATCGAGTTGTCCTGTCTCCTTAGTCTTCTCCAGTCTGTGGCACTTCCTCAGTCTCTCCTTGTCTTTCACGGTCTTGACACTTTTGAAGAGTCCTCCTTAGTTCCTTTGTTAGAAGGTCCCTCAGTTTGGGTTTGTCTGATGTCTTTTCATGATTAGACTGAACCTTTTATATTATTCCAAGAAGGTTACGGAGCTGGTGTGCCTTCCCAGTGCATCCTGTCAGAGTGCACGTGGGGTCGCTGTGCATCGCTGGAGCTGTTAACCTTGGTCACCTGGTCAAGGTGGTGTCTGCCAGGATGTTTCACTGTAAAGTAAATTCGCTTTGTAAGGACTAAATAGTCAGAAACCATAGAACTACTCTGCTTCTGCTTTTACCTTTGCTCCTAACCTTACCTTCCACCGGTGCTCCTGCCTGCAGCAATTACCACTGTGGCATTTGAAGGCTGATTTTCTATTTCCCTCATTCTTTCAGCATTTATTAATTGGAATTCTTCTTTAAGGAAGAGTTGTGTCTTCACAATTCATTTCTTTATTCAGTTATTATTGCTATCAGTATGGAGTCATGGATCTTTTTAATTATTTAGGTTGTAATCCAATAATATTATTTTGTCGGATAAATTCCAACTTTGGCTGTTGGGAGCTCTTTCAGGTCAGCCCCTGTGCTCTCTCAACATGTGTCCCCGTCTTCTTTCTGTCTCTCCTTCTCTCTCTTTGTTCATTCGTTTGTTCCTTCCTTCCTTCCTCCCTCCTTTCCTTTCTTTCTTTCTTTTTTGGCATTTCCTTACTTCTGGTACTACGAGATCCTCCAGGTTGACCTGGTATTTTCTCTGCTCTGGCCCTGGAATCCACCAGTTCTCCAATGAAATCTAGTTTTTTAAATTGCAAATCGGTATTTAGAAACCAAGACCTGGGTGCCTGTCTGCTCATTGCTACTGGGGTGTCACTGCTTCTAGTCCCTTTAAGTGGAGAGAGAGAAATCTACGTAGGTATAGTAACCCATGCATAGACACACCTCTACATTTATCCATTTGTCTGTCTGTCTGTCCATCTATCTATCTATCCATCCATCTATCTACCCATCCATCCATCCATCAAATAACAAGCATGAGTTCCTATCTGACTCCAATTCAGACCACAAGGTGTATTCTAGCCTTGTCTCCCTTTACTTATTTGTAGCTTCTTTCTCCAACAGCAAGAAACCTTGCTCCTCCTATCTGCAATTTATTTACTTCTATTTTCAACCCTAGGACCCAAATAAAGCAATTTAAAAATTGCTACCCATGCCCCTGTGAGAAACAAATCTATCAACTGGAGTACAGCGTTTGTATCTAGTTCTTGTAGTCTTTAGCTTTATAGGATCCAGTTGAAACACTTTTTGCCAAAGTTAGGTCGGTTCCTTTCTTCTCCATCCTCTGCAGTGTGCTGTGGTGTGTGATTAATCTGTAATAGAGTCAGTCAGGTGTCATCATCTGCATTCCATCTTTACTCCTACATCCTGTTTGATTTTTAAAATTTACATACAGTAATATTATATTGCACAGTTCTATGAGTTTTGACCAATGCATGAGTCATGTACCCACCATCATATTTTCACGTCTTTATATTTAAGGTGGTGTTCTTGTGGACAGTATATAGCTAGGTCCTGCTCCTTTATCCAATCTGACAATCTTATCTTTTAGCTGGTCTATTTAATGTGATTTTTGGTGTGGCTGGATTTAAATCCACCATCTTACTGGCTGTTTTCTCTTTGTGCTATTTGTTACTTTTTCTCTTTTTCTGCCTTCACTTATGTTAACTGAACATTTTTATGATTCCATTTTATCTCTTTATTAAGTTATTACTTATATCTTTTGATTTTTTTTAGTGATTTCCAAATGCTTACAATTTACATCTTTAATTAGAATTTACCCTAAAATAATAGGATAGCACTTTATGTGTAGGGTAAGGGCCTTACCACAGTCTATTTCCAAGTCTTCCCTCGCATCCTTTGTGCTTTTACTCCCACATATGCTATTAATACATGAAGCATTGCTACTATTTTTGCTTTAGACCAGGGGCTGATAAACTATGGTACATGGGCCCTATCTGCTCCACCACCTGTTTTTATAAACAAATTTTTATTGAACAAAGTCATGTCCATTTGTTTGCATATTGTCCACGGCTGCTTTTGTGCTATAATGTCAGGGCTTAGTTGCAACAAAGACTATGTGAGGGGCCGGCCCGGTGGCACAGGGGTTAAGTTCACACATTCCGCTTTGGCAGCCCGGGGTTCACTGGTTTGGATCCCGGGTGCAGACCTATGCACCGCTTGTCAGAGCCATGCTGTGACAGGCGTCCCACATATAAAGTAGAGGAAGATGGGCATGGATGTTAGCTCAGGGCCAGTCTTCCTCAGCAAAAAAAGAAGAGGATTGGCAGCAGATGTTAGCTCAAGGCTAATCTTCCTAAAAAAAACCAAAAGACTATGTGGCTCGCAAAGTCCACAATATTCACTCTCTGGCTCTCTTGCATGGTTTCTGGTGCAAAGTCTGTTATAATTCTTACCTTGTGCCTCTGTATAATTTCTCTTTTCTCTGACTGCCTTTGAGACTCTCTTTGCTTTTATTTTCAGAAGTTCAAATATAATATGCTTGTGTGCATGCATGTGTGTGTGTGTGTGTGTGAATATTTATACTGCTTAGTGTTCTTGAGATGCTTAGATCTGTGGTTTGGTGTCACTAATTTTAGAAAATTCTAGGCTATTATTTCTTTGAATATTTCTTCTGCCCTGCTGTCTCACTCTCTTCTCCTTCTGGGGTTCCATTACACGTATTCCATTCCCACAGCTCTAAGAAGTTCTGTTCTTTTTTTTTGCTTCCTCTTTTTTCTCTTTAGGTTAGGTAATTCCTAATTATCTTCCTTCGGCTTCAGTGACTCTTTCCTCACTGTCGAGTCTACTGACGAGCCCATGGGAGATGTTCTTCATCTGTGGGACTGGATCTTTCATTTCTAGCACTTCATTTGATTCCTATAGTTTCCTTCTCTGCGGTGAAGTTACTCATCCCATCTTGCCTATTGTATACCTTACGCATTAGAGACTCTGACCTACTAATCATAGTTTTTAAAAAGTGCACGTCAGATACTTCCAACATCTGTGTCATATCTGAGTCTGGGTGCAATTATTGCTGTCTCTCGGAAGCGTGTTGTTTTTCTTCTTGACTTTTCATTTGCCTCCTAATTTTTTCTTGAAAGCTGGGCATCTTGGGAGAACTGCAGAAACACTGACAAACTGTTATCGTCTCTAGAAACGGACCTGCTTTTCCTCCTGGTAGGCCTTTAGTGTGGGGCTTTGATGTAACCGAAGCGGAAGCTGGGTTTGAGGTTTTACCCTCAGTGCGCCAAACCCTTCAAATTCCTGTGGGAACACCTTGTGTTTTAGGCTGGGGGTGGGTTTGTCAGAGAAACGTCTGCTTGCCTCTCAGCTTCAGACCTTCCTTTTGCACCGTACCTCGGAGAGGTGCACACGATGCTCTTTCCTCCCCTGCTGTTCCTGTTACCCTGCTGCTCTTGTTAGCTCAACGGTGTGGGGCGGTGGAGGGAAAAATTCTCTGTTGTATT